GGCGGTGGTCGCGCGTGGCTCGGGCTGGGTCTGCTGGCTCTGCTGTCCGTGCCGCGTGTCCGTGTTGTTGAGCAGTTCGGCCGCTCAGTGCTGCCTCCCTTTCCAAATCTCTTGAGGTCTTCTGCATCCACATACCCCTGGTTTGACAGGCTGGAGTCTCAGCCCCCGCTGGGAATGCGAATTCTGTTGCACTGGCAAGTGATTACTGAGAAACTGAGGACTGTTGCTCAAGCCAGTAACGTATGAGGAAGGAAGACTGCTTCTGCCTCAGTCAGTGTTAGCAGCTGTGCAGTGTGCATCTAGAAATATCCAGACTATTTTAAGAAGAGCTAGAGTTAGAACTTTGACCTTTACAGATTGTTTTTCCAGCTTCAGCACAACTTTTCCCACAGCTGTAGTAGCCACAAATAGTTTGTTGTGTTTACATCTTGTCCTAACTCCTTATTTTCTTGCACAGTTTTTCTTTCCTGAGGACAAGATCAGGATAAAATTCAATACTTTGGCTTATATGAAATTGCCAGCTTTGTGTGTTGGAAACTCTGACAGCTATGAAATTTCTGTTGGTTTTTGATTTTGACCATACGATCATAGATGAAAACAGTGATACCTGGATTGTGAAATGTGCTCCGGAGAAAAAGCTTCCCAATGAATTAAGGAACTCCTATCGCCCAGGTCACTGGACAGACTATATGGGTAGAGTCTTTGCCTACTTGGGAGACAGTGGCGTTGGAGAAGATGTGATGAGAAGAACCATGACAGCAGCTCCGTTCACTGCGGGGATGGTCGATCTTCTAGGCTTTATTGGCAAGAACAAAGACTTCTTTGACTGCATAATCATTTCGGATTCTAATACAGTGTTTATTGACTGGATTCTAAAAGCTGCTGACTTTCATAAGGTGTTTGATGAAGTGTTTACAAACCCTGCAGCATTTACCAGTACTGGCTATCTCACTGTACAGAATTTTCACACTCACCACTGTGCAAAGTGCCCTAGAAACCTTTGTAAAAGGAAAGTGTTGGAAGAATTTTTAGATAAAAAGTTGGAGCAAGGAGCAAGTTATACACAAATTGTGTATATAGGTGATGGTGGAAATGATCTATGTCCAGTAACTTTTTTGAAGAAGGGTGATATTGCTATGCCCCGGCAGGGATATACTTTAGAGAAGAAGATTTCTCAGCTCTCCCAAGATCTCAGTCCTGTGGAGTGTTCTGTTCTGGTTTGGTCATCTGGTGTAGAAATAATGTCTTACTTGAAACTGCTTCTAAAGGAATAATTCCAATGATAAAAAGAAATAAATGTTGTTATATTTTAATCCTCTTGTAACTGCGTGCACATAAAAAAAAAAAACACAAAAATGTACAGTTGGGGTGTTATTATCATGACTTTTTATTTAATACAATATGAAAGTGTTTATCTTCAATTTTGACAACAGAGGGGAAATAATGTTATAATGGCTTTCTAGCATGCTACTCATTTCAATATAAATGGAGAAGGGTAGCTGCAAAGGGGATTGACCATAGTTTATAATCTATTATTATTATTTCAGAGCCTTTATCAACTGCATAACTGTTCACATTACTCCTATTTACATTCTTACAGAAAGATGTAGTTTTACTAAAGAAATTATTTTAAAATGTTAGATGTCAGGTTCTGGGACTGTTGGCTTTGTATCTCTTTAATCAGGATAAATGTTTAATGTGTAAATTATTTAGTATATTTGTAATCTTGATCTCAAAATGCATTTATATTTTAATATACTAAATATTTTATCAAACAAATAGTTTTTAAATGTTTATATTAAGGTCAATAAAAGGCACTGGCAGAAACAAAGTGCCTGATTTGTGCGGTGTTTTCTGCTGGACTTTGTGGCCTCAGATCCCCATTCTTGTGAGGACTTGGAGGTGGTGAACACACATGCAGTTGTTGGCCTCAGAAATCTTTGGATAACACCTTCGCTTGTTTTATCAGTATGACTTCTTGAGACCAGTGAGGAATTTGCTGTTTTGTCTGGCCATCAGCACAGAGCGCCGTTGCCACCACAGAGCCAGGCTGGATCTTGCCCATGGGCGCCTGGAGCAGGAAGGGGCTTCCCTCTTGCTGCAGCGTGTGCCCGCACCATGGGCGCTCTCAGGGCTTTTACGCTACCTTCACCTCCTTGTTGTCATCATGTGAGAGCATAATCCTCATGGGCCAGGAGGGAACATCTCTGTGCATTTGAACTTTTGGATGGATTTCTTCTGTCCTTAAAAGAATCTGTGTGAATGGGAACTCTGCTTTACAGGGATTTGGGTAATACATATAGAGATGCTACAACTGTCTCAATAAAGTTAAATAATGTATTTTTTATGCTATTTTTTGTAGTTTTACAGTCCCTGGTTTCCTGCCTAATAGGTGAGAAATGAGTCCAACTTTTGCACTTCATGATTATGGGTGCCTGTGATTGAGCTGTCTGTAACAGTTGTCTTCCTCTGTGTCTGTGGTGCTGCGATGTGCTGATTTGCATCATGTGCACTGATGTTGTCACTCCCTTCTTTGACTCCGGTGAATATTTTAGGGGTGATCTCTCTCGCTTTGAGGCTGATGCTACATGATGACTTGCCCTTAAGCACTGTTTTTTAAAAAGGTTCAGTTATCAGCCCTGTTTTAACTTATTGTAGAAGACTGCCTGTTGTTTATCAAGACTGATTTGCAGAAACTAGTTTGCACTACAACACAGTTACCAAGCTTCTTGGGTTTGGGTATGAAGAAGAGGCCATGAGTTTCCCAAACTTGCAGGAATGAACTGGTGAGGCAGCCAAAGAGAGAAGACGGAGCGGGTCCTTGAAGGGACATGCACTTTGTTCCGTTGCTTGTTGCCAAGCTTGTCAGAGGTTTAAAGTTACATGCTGTCCAAGGGCTGAGGAAATACGATGATTTAGGTAAAGATATAATGAAAAAAAAAAAAAAAGCATTACATACAAAGTTTTCTGTACAGTGACAGGGCAAAGTCTGCCTATCGCATGCCAGCTCTGGCAGGGAGCACTTACTCGTAGTACCGTAGCAGCAGGGCAGAGCTGCGTGTCCATAGGAAGCTCATGAAATGGAAAGTGGAAAACATAGCAGCAAAACAAAGTTGTCGGCATGGTGATGTATAAACAGATTTGGGGCCATACAAGGGAATGCTCTGAAGGAAAAGAAAAAAAAAAAAAAAAAAAAAAAAAGGAGCAATGCAGCTGTGGGAGCTACAGCCCCCGCTCAGAGGCAGCAGGCCGGGCTACTGCTAATCCTGGTCTGCACCACCAGCTCCAAGCGCCTTCGCTAGTAAGAGCAGCTGGAAAGAGCAGGCAGAGATGCGTGAAGGATTTGTTGCCTTTGTTCAGAGCAGTCTGTGAGCTCTTAGGCTGCCATGGAAAGGGCAAAGGGAAGTTTGGGTTGTGTTGCACAGTCTGTATGTGAGGAAGGATTCAGGGGTAAGCACCACCTGGCCGTTTGTGGCAATTCATGCTTTTTGTGGAAGAAGTGCAATTAGTTTTATATATATATATATGAATCTTTTTCAACTTGGGCCTTTGCTGTCACCTAGCTATTGACAGCAGGTGACCACCTCATTTGGTAAGAGGTGGTCCTCAGCTTCTGGCAAGGCAGGAAAGGCTGGGCTGGCGAGGGCCGGCTGAGGTGGAGACCCAGGAGCTGCTGGTGGCGAGAGCGGGAGCTCAGGCCCTCCGGAGAGGGCAGAGCCCCCTGGGCCCCCCCGC